CGTGTGGATGTTCTGATAAAATTCCATGTAATTTTATCAGAACATCCACACATATCACTAAAAGATACTTTGGAGAAACAGAGAAAAAAGATTACCTACAAAATGTTTCTGAGAAAAACTAATACTGTGTAGACAGTGGTTCTGAGAAAAACTAACCATGTGTAGACAGTGGTTCTTAAATTGATCCAATTACTCCTTTTCCTGGTCTCGAATAATGTCATCACCCCCACAAAAAGACTCTCGCATCTTGGCAGCAGCAATCCCAAACTTGATCCTCATCTCACAAACAAGCAATTACAAATTGTTCTGTTACCCCCGAGATATGCCCAAATTATCCCTCAGCAGTAATTACACCCCCTCCCCCATTTAACAACTACTGATTTAGAGGATCTTGTGGCAGATATAGAAATAGAAGAGAGCCAGTTTGGTGTAGTGGTTAAGGAGACTGTGAAGGCCTCCTTTAAGCATGAAACCTGGCTGGATGACTTTGAGCCAGTCACTCTCTCTCAGCCCAACCCACCACATAGTGGTGGTTTTGTGGGGAAAACAGAAGGCAGGAGTATTATTAAGAAAAACTTAATAATAAGAGCAATTTCTCAGTGGAACAGATTAATAGGGTTAGGCTTTTCTTCCCTGCAGGAGAGATTTCCTATTCTAGCATTGTAGATCCTACAAGGAAATGGCAGTCTTTAGATTGCTGGCCTCAAAGACAAGCTTTTCTAATAATGATCTAGTAAAATTATTTTCCCTTATGTAGAGAGCTTTAAAAATATTTACAAATATTTTTACAAATATATTATACATGTTTAAATATTTATACAGGTGATGGGCCACAATGTAGAGATTATGTCATTAGCCTTGGAGTGGTGAAGCCTTTGCTGTCATTCATCAGCCCATCTATTCCAATAACTTTCTTAAGAAATGTAACTTGGGTAATGGTCAACCTATGCCGTCACAAAGACCCACCTCCACCAATGGAAACCATTCAAGAGGTAATCTACTTGCTTGTTGAAATTTAATCAGTTTGGACTTTACTGCAGAATTTTGAATGCCCTTTTTTTGTTTCTTCTAGATTCTGCCAGCACTGTGTGTCTTAATTCACCACACAGATGTAAATGTGAGTAATAGAATATTTTGTTAGCTATCTTTAAAAGCAAAGTGCACAGCCATAGCAGGTTATTAGTGAAAGCATTTGTGTCTGCTTAAGTATATATTAATACTTAAGCAGAATTATCTTTCAGGAAACACTGGTATCTCAAAGGTGTAAATATGTTTCTGTTCCTACATACCAAGGATTGTTGTACATAATCCCTTAACTATGGCTTCCTGTTCTTCTCTGTTGTTACCCTTTATCCAAATTTAATCATTCTAAAGTTGTATAGTTGCACCATTACTTACACATTATCATCCCCATCCTAGATGTCATTTAAGTACATAGTCTTAATTTCATAGACAAAATAATTCCATTCTCCTAGAAATGTGCAATATAACAATAGACAATGGGAGAATAACAAGAGGTTAAGTATGATATATATTTTATAATTAGTTTATGGTTAGGGATGGAGGTTAAAGATTAGGTCATAGATTTGTGGAAGGAGGATTCCAAATGGATTGTAAACAGGAGAGTGTAGCAGACAATGAAGAAAAATGGGCAGAATCATGATAAAGGGCAAGAGACCTTTAGGTAGTAATGGTGAATTTGAATGATTAGCAATTGTAGTATGGTACATGACTGGTGGCAATGTCCAAATCAGGCCAATGGAACACCTTATGCACTGGCAGCTATTTAGTTATATATTTTTCTTACTAATATATTCTTGAGCTCTATACTAAGATATATGGGTGTGCAAGAATGTAAGCCAAATTTTGTAGAAAGACATAGAAGATATTAAAATACTAAGTAGAATCAAACATTTCAATCAAATCTCATTGTTTTCTCTGCTTGTGCAGGTCTGATGCATTTTTTTTCTTCTAATTAGATATTGGTAGATACAGTCTGGGCCCTCTCCTACCTAACAGATTCAGGCAATGAACAGATTCAGATGGTGATAGATTCTGGGATAGTTCCTCATTTGGTTCCTCTTCTCAGCCATCAGGAAGTTAAAGTGCAAGTAAGTATTCTGCAAGTTTCCTTTCTTTAAATAAGCTTTTTATGGGAAGCACTGAATTAGAAATTAATATATGAAGCATTTTGAGGTCTATCAAGATGAGAGATGTAAAGTATTCTAATGTGAATAGATTTTTAGTGTGGAATGGTATCTTGAAGAAATGACCTGAACAATATTTTAGATTTTGTGGTTGGAATAGGATTACCAAATTATCTATTTCCCTGTATAATAGTTGGCCCTTTAAATTTTTTATTCCTGGAATCTTTTCACTGGTCCATAGCATTCAGCTTACAGACAATAACTTAATCTGGTTAAGTGGTGAAATTAATGCATGATATTTTCAATGAATCACCAACCTTTTCCATTTAAACATGTTATTCAGCCATCAGGTTTGAATTATTTTTTTTCCCTAGACTGCAGCACTCAGAGCTGTAGGCAATATTGTTACTGGCACTGATGAACAAACCCAGGTAGTTCTGAATTGTGAAGCTCTTTCACATTTTCCTGCTCTGTTGACACACCCCAAAGAAAAAATTAATAAGGTATGTAAATATGTGTAACACTATTATGCATTACATGTTACTGATTAGAAATTAATATTGTAATTAATTGATCCATTGACTCCAAGTGAACATAGGTACGTTCAAATTACACTGACTCTTGGAAATGATGAAATGGAGGTTACGCGTAGAGGGATGAGTGTGAATTGGAGAGCGTGACTGTTTTATTCAATACGGAAAGGAAAAAGGTATATGTGTGAGAGAGTGAGAGAGAATATATGTGATGTGTGCATGCATTTAGGGCTACATAATGATGCAAACTGTGGACACTGAAAAGAATTGCTGATTTTGGAGTGCATCTGAGGCACAGTTGCTAAATCATAGGGCCTTTGCTGCAACATTGCCTGTGATTAAAGCCCAAAACATGTTCTCAGTTTGTTTCTAGAAATTGTAAACCTCTGACATGTTCTAAATGAATATGTAATCTGATCCAAGGGTCCAGTTTAATGATTTTTAAAACACAAAAACATGGTTTAGATGAGGATATGCTTTTGTTTCATAAAGAATAAGCAGTTTTTTTAAAACTCTGTTGAAATTAAACAGTAGCTTTGACAAAACAGTATTTTACTTATGTGTGCATTTCATTTAAAAATGGCCTTTCTAAATCTTAAGGCAGCAAACAAAAGGTAAATAAAAGTAAGCACAATAATATACTTTAAATGTTAAAATTCAAAAAGTGAAAAGTGAAATATAACTCAGATGAAAAGGACTATACTGTACATACTTGTTATTTCAGTTTTAATTACTTAATGTATTATAGTTATTTTAATATCTGTAAACCTCCCAGAGCTCACTCAAATTTGCAGCAGTAGATAAATTGAACAGAGGAATAAATGTGTCTAGTCCATGCCAATCTTACTGAATTTGAAAATGGGTCATCTTGAGTAGGGATTTTATTATTGGTCTTAAAGCCTAGATGGATTCATGTGGGCAGTTAGTTCTTTAAATATTCTGGCCTCAAAATGTTTTGGTCTTTAAAGACCAAAATAAGTATTATGAATTGGTCTGGAACACGTCAGTAATATATGGCTAGCATAGAACTAATGTAATACACTTCGATTAATCCACCAGACTCCTGAGCAATTATATTTTGCATCAGTTGAATTGTCCTAACAGTTTCAAAATAGCCCTACATTGATTACGCTACAGTAACATAATCTGGATGTAATTAATGCATGTATGATCAAAGTAAAATCCATATCCATTAGTAGATAAAGTTAGTGTACCAATCTAAGGGGTAAAATGTAGTCCTGGCCAACATTGCCATCCCCGTTTGCACAGATAGTGCAAGAAAATCACAATTTCAGAAGAACTCCCAAGTTGCAAACTTGGACTTTCAGAGAGGGTATAATTTTATGTACCAGAGCTTGTACCTCATTAGCCAGATCAACCAGTTGATTCCCACAGCACCTCTAGCTTTCTGTGGATTAGTGTTCAGTTCATCCATATCCATTTCAAAACCTGGCTTCAGAACATGAGTTCAAATTTATCATTAAAATTACAAAGCCAGTCCCCAGCCCATTGTAATATAAACTGGCGATACGTTTATTATTCCAACTCACTAAACCTGTATTCAGTAGGCCCCTCACCACCCAAAACAGCTTTTCCCTTATGATATTTTGATACAAAAATTCTTAACCACCATCATAGTCATAGAATAACCCAGAATATATATTCTTTAAGTATATTCATTAAAAGTCTTTTTCTGATTATGGGGTCATGTTTTTGATCCAGTGTTTCGGTTCAGCACTGCACTAAGTCATTTTAACAAACCCTGGTGGCCTAGTTCATGCAAAGTTAACTATAGTGGCTGTATTTAAACATGCTAAACCAGTCAAGCTACTTCATAATTTAACATGATGCATGAAGCTAGCCCATTACTTCATCATATTGAAGTCCTATAAAGAGAAAATCTGGAAACAATCATTTCAATGGCTTTGAAAATACTTGTGAATCATTCTCTAAACATAGTGCAGCAGCTGGATGTTACCATACTTCAGGTAATGTAATGTTTAATTTTAACAACTGATCTAGTTGCTTTAAAGCCCATTTTAAAAATAAGTACCCTCAATATTTGCATATGTGAAGAGTTAGTTTTTGTCTGTATATGTAGCATATTAGAGATCAATATTATAAGCACAAAAGTTTAAAACCAATAAGAAGGGAATCCAACCCCTTTAGAATTCTGAATAACCTTAGGTTCATTTCAGATGGACTCCTCTTTTCAGAGAAAAAAGTGGTTGTGCCTATCACCTGACCAAATACTAGCCACCTTCTTTTTAAGCCATTCATTATTAAACACGATGAACTGAACATTGTAAAATACTCCACCTTGATAATTTTGTTTGCAAATTGTATCTATTTTATTTTTATGAATAAAAATTCCATCTGCCCATCTCACACAGGTGACTTTGGGAGGTGTAAAAGGATGAAAAACACACAAAGCCATGACATATAACCCCTGGTGCCGAAGGGTAAACAATAACCCCACTCCCACTCCCCCCCGGCACATTAGCAGAGCTCATCTAACCTCCTGACCCAAATGCTTAATGCAAGTTTCATGTTTATATTTGACCTTAAAATCAGTTCAGTGGGCTAGTCTGGCATAGTTGTTGGTTACAGATAAAGTATATATCTTATAATTTAGTTCTTATCCTATTTAGATAGAACTCACCTTGGAAGCAGATAAGCAATTTCAACAAAAATGGGTTAACGTGCAACTTAAATAGTTCTCGGATTTATTTTACTGTGTTCATATTGAAAACCATGTAGCCCTACAGAGGTTAATCCATACTTTCAGAATTTGTAATATTTCTTTAAGGGTTTTTAAACTTCATTTTTTTGTTGCAGGAAGCTGTATGGTTCCTATCTAACATCACTGCAGGAAATCAGCAGCAAGTCCAGGCAGTGATAGATGCTAACCTTGTACCAATGATAATACATCTTTTAGATAAGGTTAGACAAATATTTGCTTAAATTATTTGGGCACGTGCATGCATGTCTGCCGGTTATACTCGTATAGCTCACTGAACTCAGTAAACTCAGCTTTTTTCTAGTAAGAGAAGCACTAGTCCCTAAGCAACCTCCTATTATATCACTTAAATAATTCAAGAGTTAGAGATTACAGTTATGTAAGAGACAAAGTTGATTAAAGAGATTAATTAAGTTTTTAATCTGTGGTAATTCACGTAATGAACAATCTACCAATACCATGCAAAATAGCGTTTCTCTTTTCAATACATTTCTCCGTTATTGTCTACTACTGCTATATGCCTTGTACAACAGTGAAACATGAAAAGTACCAAATTTTACAATGCAAATCAAGTATTAATCACCAGAGGCTTTTAAAAGCAGTCAACTTCAAAGGCAGTCATATGTCAACATAATGCTGCAGGACAGCGTGGACTAAACACAGTGTTTATTTTGGGGAGATAGTGAAGATTTTCCCTTTCATGTTCAGAAATTCTCCTCTAGCAATAGCCTAACTAAATAGTTCAAAACTTATTTAGCCATCATTCTAGGTTGGACAGTGAATGGCACAGAAGTCCTGGTTTTCCAAATTTGGATGAGGTGCTGTTTCATATTTTAGAACAAGCACATTGAAATTGTAACACAGAGCAGATATTTTTATTCTGAAGAAATGTCTAGAGGACTTATATGAGACCCAAAGGCATTATTGGAAATAATTATGCTAGAGGCAGAGGTTTTGCTTTTATAGAATGCCATCTTTTCACTTTTTAAAAAAATAAGATCTAAGAATATTAAAGTTGGTTGGGACAGGATACCATATTGCTTACTATAAATTGCATATAATGCTGCAAATATGCATTGATGAAAGATAACCTACCAGTCAAAAATGAATGCACTGGTAGCATTAAGGTTAATATGTATAAAGATGAGCAGGCAGTAAGGTCACTCTACTCATTTAACAGAAATTAGAATGATACTCTATTATCTTTCCTGCTATTTTTCTTTTGCCTTGCATGCCAACTTCAAGCAAAATTATACACAGCCACTTGGCCTAACATTCCCTTGCTTTACAAATCAAGGGATTAAAAGGATTTGAGGTTATAAACAGATGATGCTGTTCCTCCCAAATCAGTGCAGCTACCCCCTTCTGCGGGTAATTCACTAATAGTTAACAATAATTTAGTAAACTTGTATGCTGCCCGATTCTCAACAACTCTGGGTGGCTCACAACAATCAAACCAAGAAATCACAATAAAGTAAATAAACGACTAAAGTTAAAAAATAGCAAGTGTGATGAAGCAAGGTGTCTCTCTCTCTCTCGCGCCAAAGGTCTGGGTGTAGAGCCAGATCTTCACAGCTCTTCTAAACAATAGCAAGTGGAGGCCACCTGGATCTTGGGAGAAACCTTGTTTCAGAAGCCAGGCACTGCTATAGAGAAGGCACATTTCTGGGATCCCAATAGATGACATAATTTAATCAAAGGAACCCAGAGCGTGCCAACCCTGCAGGATCGAATCAGCCAGACAGATGTTATGGGACACAGGCAGTCCCTCAAGTAACCAGGCCCTGTGCCATCTAGGGATTGAATTGTGCCAAAAGCAAATCAACCAGTGCAGCTCACGAAGGAGAGGTATTACATGGGCATACCAAGGCATGCAGATTACTGCTTGCGCTGCCACATTCTGGATCAGTTGAAGCTTCTGGGTTGTCTTCAAGGGCAGCCCCATGTAGAGTATGTTGCAGTAGTCAAGCCACAAGGTGACTAGGACATGAGTGACTGTCTGAAGGGCCTCCCAATCTACGAAAGGGCACAACTGGTGCATCAGAAGGAGTTGTACAAAGGTCTTCCTGGACTCTCAGCTCCTGTATACCAAACCTGAAGGAGCAAGTGCTACCAGATTGCATACCAACCCTGAAGGGAGAAGTCCTACCCCATCCAAGGTCAAAGATGGAATATCTCCAGATTTGGGCAGTCCAAGCACCCATAGTCACTCAGTCTTGGTAGGACTGAGTCAGAGACAGTTTCTCCCCATCCAAACCCATATAGCCTCCAGGCCCTGGGACAGAACTTTGACAGCATCACTTGGCTGGCCCGAGGTTGAAAGATATAATTGGGTATCATCAGCATACTGATGATACTGAATCCCAAACTGGCAGATGACCTCACCCAGCAGTTTCATGTAGATGTTGAAAAGAAGGGGAGAAAGAACCCTACGGAGTGATGTCTCCCCACCCCCACCCCCAACCAACACTGACTGGAACTGGCTCTAGACAGAGGAGGAGAACCACTGTGAAACAGTGCCCCCAATCCCCAACCCATGGAGCTGGCTCAGAAGGATACTGCGGTCAACAGTGTTGAAAGCCAGTGAGAGATCAAGGAGCACAAGGATGGATGGACCACTGTCATCCTGGCTCCATCGCAGGTCATCAGCAAATGCAACCAAAGCTGTCTCAGTACTAAATC